TGTTGATTGACGAGTGAGTTCTTTGCTAGCCTACTATTGACTTATTTCATAAATGCCAATGTCATTGAATGAACATAATAAGTCATATATGTGTGCTGCACTCTTCCATGTAGGGCTTTTGCAACACACACAAGTTCAATTATTTTGTACCGTTGACGTTTATTTTTATAATACAAGCCCTGATTCTGCAATAATGTTCTCCGTTAAGTTGCTTGTTTGGCCTTGGACCAAAGGCTGCAGACCTGGCCTGAGCTTAGATCCACCACTAGATATATGCCACTTCTCCTGTCTGTTTGGATTATTGTCAGATAACAAGCATTATTGCGACTTGCATTGGGTGAATAGAGTACTGCATGCTCTCCTCAGTTATTGGCACTTCAGGGTTTCTTTAGTTTTTATTGCATTTGACTCCAGGTATGTACTGTGTGCAAGAAAATGTCACAAAACCTGGCCACTAGCAAGTGAGGGCATGAGAGATTCTAGTTTAGAGTTTTGCTGCTATTTGACTTCGATTTAGTAACTCTACACGCCGTAAACGAGCACCCGTTGTTATTTGTGTCCTAGCTAGCTAGTATGTACTCACAAGGCCCATTTGGTCCATGATGAACCAGCAAACACATGGCTATGGGGCTAGCTTGGGTGTATATGACCTGCGCAAGAATTTGAAACTGCCTGAAACATGGCTAAGGAACTTAAATTGTTTATTTGTTTCCTAGCACTCGGATATAGTTACATGCTTGTCTTAGGCTGACTAAAATAAAACTAAGGAAAATTCTTCAGTGTGGCCATCTAGTTTTTGTGTGGTTCACGAAAACTCTACACTTGTTGATTGTTTGCATGCTGTAAACAGAGCAACTATAAATCTATATGCTTCTTCTGTAGCATATCCTGAACTCTACGTAACACTACATCATGTTGCTTTAGCTTGCCATCTGACCCAAGGTGGAAACCTCAGCAATGTTGGTTGGACCACAAGTCTGCAATTACATCTTAAAGTTTTCCTAGTTTGCATTGGTACTACTATACTATCTATTCAAGTAGAACCCGTCTGTAGCTGTTGTATTCAGACGGTGAGCTCTTGGTGGCATCTTGCAAATGTGTGTGTGATTACTTGCAACTGTTGGGCAACTGACCACAAGTAGCAGTTGCATTTCTGAACTGCTATAGGAATTAGTAAACGTTAAGACATGCTCCAGCATTTTCAAGACATGCGAATGGTTATATTTCTAACGGCAAAGGCACCCGTCGTTCCCTTACCGAATCCACCCTATGTATATAGGAACAGTCCCAGGCTACTTAAAAAAATGACGCTCGAACTGATCTTTGTATATCATATCGCAGCTTCAGGTACAAGTAGCCTACTATGGCTGTGTAATGGCACCGACTATGTACCAGCTGTTTACTTAACCACTCTCCGTTCATTCTTCAAAGAACTACATACATATGTTCGGATGTGGACTACTAAGTACCATGCTCAAACTGGTATTTTTGTGTTTTTTTCATACATCCAGCATATTTCCAGGCTACTTAAAAAAACAAACTCTAAGATGTTTGTTGGGCCACAACATAGCAATACTGATCAAAGTGTAATTCCATTTGACAATCGATATAATACTGTAAGTAGGATTCAAAGGTTTCATGCACAAGTAGTCTAAATACACATCTGACAATATAAGTTTATTTTTTTCGCCACTGGGGCGACACCACCAGCAGTTCAGCAACTATAGATTGATGGGCAGCGGCGGCGTACCTCGTCGACCGGGAGCGGATCGGCGCGCTGGCTCTCGGTCTTGGTGTGGGCGGGCGCGCGGCGGCTCTCTTGGCCTTGGCCACGGGGTGCTTCGGCAGCACACTGCTCCTCGCTCAGGACTTGCTCCGGCCGCGCAGCTTCCCAAGTCTGGCTGTGCCGGGTGCGGGACGCTGGGGGCGCGCAGTGAGGGACACCGGGGGAGCCCAGTGAGGGACGCCAGGGGGCGGGAAGTGCAGGACGCCGGGGCGGCCGGGCGCAGCTCTGAGGAGAGCCGCCAAGGTGGTGGCTGGGTGGAAGAGGGGCCGTGTGGGGCGCGGGTGGCCGCCATGATGGGAGCCGAGGTCGGGGAGGCGGCCAGGCAGGGCGAAGGCGTGGCGCGAGGCCAACGGCGTGGCGGGCGGGCGGGCGGCGTGGCGGGGGGTAAAGAACAAGCGCGGGCGCGGGCCGGAGGGAAAAAGAGGCATTTTGGGGATTTTGGGCCGACGTCAGTTTTTTAGGTTTTGGGCCTTTGCCGAAGGCCCAGATCCAGGGCCCTCGGCAAAGATGTTTTTATTTTTTTAAAAAAAATTCTTTGCCAAGTGCCCCTAGCCCAGCACTCGGCAAAGACAGTCTTTGCCGAGTGCCAAGATGGCACTCGGCAAATTTTCAGTTTTTTTTGTTTTTTTGACCCCAAATTTTTTGTTGGGCCCGCCTACACTGTTTACAACTTCATGTTCAAATTTTGTGTTTTTTCTAGTTTTTTTTGTTATATTTGGTTGATTAATTTGATTATGTTGAATTTTTATATATAATTCAAATTTGAGCTCGAAAATGTTATTCATGGTAAGTGTATGGAATATTGTAATCTAGTGCTTGAAAAATGTTATTCATGGTATTTGGTGTATGTTTGAGTCTCTATCCAAAACGAACTCTCCATAAAATCATCAAATTTGGAGATGTCGCATCTTCATCGCAACTTGCTCAAACATTCTCATTTTTACCACAGCCACTTGCGAAACATGACACCTCGACAAGTTTATAATTTTCGACTTCCATATGGACTTTATATAATTTTAAGACACTTTTTCAAGTGCCTCGTCATGTTATTGTGAAGAAGATGTGCGTAAATTTGATGCGTAGTTCGTGGATAGAGACTCAACATATACCAAATACCATGAATAACATTTTTCGAAGCACTAGATTACAATATTCCATACACTTGCAGTTCAAATTTGAATTATATATAAAAATTCAACATAATCAAATTAATCAACCAAATATAACAAAAAAAACTAGAAAAAGCACCAAATTTGAAAATGAAGTTGTAAACAATGTAGGCGGGCCCAACAAAAAATTTTGGGTCAAAAAACAAAAAAAAACTGAAAATTTGCCGAGTGCCATCTTGGCACTCGGCAAAGACTGTCTTTGCCGAGTGCTAGGCTAGGGGCACTCGGCATAGAATTTTTTTTAAAAAAAATTCAAAAACGGTTAAAAAGTCTTTGCCGAGGGCCTAACGGTAATGCCCTCGGCAAAGATTGACGGCAGGGGATGGAAGTCGTGTCAGATGGTGTTGCCGAGGGCCGGCCCAAAGAATTATTATTGTCGTGTGCTTGTCTTTGCCGAGGGCTGTTCTTTGCCGAGGGCCAGGCTCTCGGCAAAGACTCTTTGCCGAGTGCCCGATCATTTGCCCTCGGCAAATCCTCAGGCCCTCGGCAAAGATGCTTTGTCCGGTAGTGCCCCCCCCGTCTTGAGTTATGGACATTCCTATGTTTCTACTTCACTTACTAGTGAGAGTCGTGTGCTTTTCACCCCCGGGGTAGATATGTTCATCTTGAGGCCGTTGAGGTGAGGAATAGAGAGAGTTTTTCTTGCCGCCTAGAGATTTGTGCCTACCTATAAGGCCACCATGACCTCATTGAGGATTTTTTTTTGGATCACTTGCTCCCACTAAAGTTGCAAACTACATCTAAATTTCTAGGATCACCAGATCCTTTCTCTTATTTTCCGTTGTATGCAATTGATGTTCACCATGGCCTGCACATTCTAGTGGTGTGAAGGTAGGCCTGACTATGATCCTATCAAGGACTCGGATGTTAGAAAGGACTACGTTTACACTCAAGGATGTCTGTGGATAGGATCTTCACCAAAGTTTACTGCAACGTCTAGTTGACGTCTTTTGTTTGATTCAGTCTCGGTGGACTTGCTTGTACTTGTACCCATGTCTTGTATTAGGGTCAATCGAATGTAATTTCGATTTTATGTAAACACTTTGTATGCATCTAAAATGATCTGAACGTGAGGTTGCACAAACCAAATGTGAAATCCACTAACCAGTCCTAATTGTTTCTTTTTCATATTCTACATCTGCTTTACAGACTATATATTATACAATGCTTCTATCCTAATCCTCTCCTTGATGCTTGCTTTTCGTACGTATCCTCATGATGTCGCCATTGCTTAGTGTCAAACCTGCTTTATTAGGTCAGGGGCCTGATCATGGTCAGGGCAAATGAGGAGGAATATGTCCCCTCAACTTACATCGCATCAATCAAGCCAACGATGAAAATGTTTCCTTGCTTCATTCGCAAGTAATCCGCTGCTGCCACATGTTAATTCATACTTGAAGTGGAACTTTCAGAAGTTTCACCCAAATCTCATCCTATCTCGCTGACAACGACAGGCCTGATGATTCAGCAAACAACACCACTGTTACATCTCCTGACCTCTGCACTGCAGCCAGGTAGGTCCGTAGGTGTACCATGTGTGTATATGCTAGTGATCAGTCTTTATCAGGGAGAGATGGCAAACCAAGGCGGAACAATGATTGATAGATCTTTATATGTCAGTACAGAACTGGTAACAGTCACAAGAACATGTAGAACTAATTTTGATAGCTCGCAAATTGACTCCATGCATGCATGCAGGGCTAAGGTATTCTACAAGGGTGACATGATCATGTCTGTGTGCAGTGGAGGTCATTCTGCCTGTCCTTGTCAGTGATCACTGCAAGTGCAAACTGAATATTATAGGCTCATCTTTCACCTTTTCCACGCTCTGAAATATGACGGGCAACTACTTTGCCCTGCCTTTGTGTCAACATAAAGCTAAGGTGATAAGAGAAGTATGATAATAAGATACATAATTTATTGCTTGTCTTGATCAAGCTAGGAAATTACAGTATAGCTTCTTGCTGCTTCTGCTGCGTTATCTCCTAGACGCCAGTTTCTGATTCCCATCCCTCTTTTTCATGAGAACCGAGGATAGAAGAAGATCAGGTAACTCTGATAGTTCCGAAAAGAGGCGTTCCCCGGGAGGCACCAGGCTGTTCGGATAACCGGGATGTCGACATCTTCAGCTCCAGATCAGGCATCTGGAGTAGCGCCTGAGGCTTCGCCATCAAGTAAAGGGAAGATGGGTTCTGTGACTCTGATGCATCACTACTACCAGCACACTGTGATGCGCTGCTCATCATCAGGTTCAGGCATGGAGGCAGCAGCGCAGGCGGAGCTCCCTTCGTCGTCCTTGCGTCTGCGGCCACCGGCGACAGGCTGGGGAATTGCAGATAGGATACTGATGCTGTCCTGCGGATTGCTGCCTTGTTAGCACCTTCAACCTGCAGAGCGTGTAGGTAACAGGTAAAAATTACATGGTACACTGCCAAGGAACAAAAGGTTAACTGATCGGAGAATTCATCGGGTCAGTTACCGCATCAAAGAGACTGGACCTCCTCTTCTTCTGTGTGAAGCTGTTCTGCCTCAGGAAATACTTCTGGGCATGGCTGGCCACCTGCGTCGGTGTCCGTGTCGTGACAAAGTGTCGAGAAATGCCTCGCCAGTCGCCCTTCCCGAGCTTGTCTAGGCCGGCAAGGAAGATCTGGTGCTCTTCCTCGGTCCATGGAACTCCTGAGACACTTGTTTTGATTATTCAGGAGTTACAAAAGAATAAGGACATCCTGAAATGTGAAACAGCTCCGAGGCATGCTGATCATTCAGGAGATAACTATTCGTTAATTGCTACAAACTGACAGCGAATATTTTGTCATTGATCACTTGATAAGTTCACAATTCGACCAGGAGATTAAGCTTATCGTTCGATAATTGCAACAGACTAACTAAAAACATTGTTCTACCGAAAACATACAGTCCCAAACATAGACTTATCAATCAATCCTTGCAAGAAACTATGACAAGTAACTGAAGTTCACAGCTTCCGGACAAAATTCAGGATCAAAATAAATTCAATCGAACTGCAGAGGTAAAGAAACTCTGAAACAGAGCTAGAAAATAACAAATAACTGAAGTAAGCACATTAGTTTCTTGTTCGCAATCTCACCTTTCTTCCTGTCCTGAACCCTGACCACGAGGCCATCCGACACGTGCCCTCCGGTGATCCTCTGGGAGCTCTCCTCTATTGAGGCAAGCGAAGACGAAGTTGATGACACGGATGGCGACAAGCTTGACGTAACAGCGGCAGCAGCTCCGTAGTAGGCAATTGGTGACAGGCATTCCATGCTGAGGCACTTCTTGAGAGGAGAGGAGCCTACCTGCAGCTGCACCCCAAACAGCCTCAAGCTACCACGGCTAGTACTAGTGCTGCTGATGCTAATGCTGGTCCCTTGGCATCTGTGACCACTGCAAGTTCTGGAGTTATGGCCATTGTTTCCACAGCGGGAGCACTTCCTAGCCATGCTCAATTGTGATGGTTGGAACAAGGGCACAAGAAGTTGCGGTGTAGCAGTTGGAGTCAGCCAAGAAAGAGAGAACTTCTGTCCAACTAGACAAGATGGAGTAAGATGTTGTAGCTAGTAGAGGTTTAATAAAGGGTGCAGAATGTATCATGGGCTGTTTGGGAAATTACTAAACAGTCTTGTATTATGGAAGGGGAGAAGTATAACATCATCCTGTTTTTTATGGTTGTGGTATTCAGAATCCGCAGTTATCTTTTGAGTCTCTGCCACTACTATACTTGACGTCACTTTCAGTACACAGCTTATAAATCTACACTACCACATAGTATTTGGTTAGATATGTTTTGTTTAGTAACATATGATTTTTGGAAACCGTGTTTCAATCAGAGAATGTCAGATGATTGCAACAGTATAAGTTTCCTAGTCACGTTCATCTTACAGAAACTGACTAAAGATTCTAGAAAGTACTCTAGTTGCTGATGCCTTTATCATAATCGCTGGTCGAATACAGTATACTACTACAAGATAAATAAGTACTACGGTGATTGTCATATCCACTTTATAGTGTATTATTCTTGAGTTACAATTGATTAAACTCTACGTCAGAGGATTCATGATCTCCTTAACAAACAATTGCCGGATCATGGATTATACAACTAAGCAAGGAGATAATTTTTTGCCTTTTTTCCCAATAGCTTGCAGTATTTGGTTGCTAAAAAACCAAACATGAGGATATTTAACCAGTCGCCACTGGAAGTGAGGGTGGAAAATGACTTGCCACTTTGTGAGACAAGTGAACGTAAGAGGAATTAGAATAAAAAAAAGTTAAGGGCACGTTTGGTTCCATGTCCCTGGACTAAAGTTCAGTTCAGGGACACTTCAGTCACTACCTATTTGGATCTATATACTAAACTCCATTAAAGCTACTATATAAAGACTAAAATGTCCTCCATCTCACTCTCTCTCTCTCTCTCTCTCTCTCCTGTGCATTAATGAGGGGCAGCGGGTGTCCTTTAGCTGGTTTAGTCCCTTTAGTCACCCACAAGAGACTAGAGGACTAAATCAGTTTAGTCACTTTTTAGTCATCATTTTTGGCAATTTAGTGACTAAAAAGGGCCAAAACCAGGTGCCAAATAAGTCCCTCAAAAATGTTGTCCGGGCACTAATTGCGTGCAGATGTTCCCGGTTAGCCGCAGAACCCCAGCAGGCTAGTGGCGGCTAGCAGCCACCGGACACCAATGCTGGCCAGCATCCTAGTTTACCATGCATCCCCATACTTGGGAATTGGAGGGGAGAGTTTACAAAATGCATGCTAACCTTTTAGAAAGTTCAGATACAGAATTTACGGTTCCTTTTTGTAAAAAATGAATTAGGAAGTTGTTTTAATAAGTTCTCGGTGATACCCTAATAAAAGTAGACGGGAAACAAAAACAGATGCCTGCACTGAAATTATCAATCAGAGAATATAAAGGCGTGTTTGGCTCGCCTCCACAACGCGCCGTAGCTCGCCACGCCACAAGTGTGGCATGCCGTGTCGGCCAAACACCCACACCGCAACTCGCCGAAGTTTTGGTAGCCGCCGCACGCTCCAATTCATTTTTTACGCCACAACTTGCCAAATGTGTGGCGGACGATTCGTCCACCGCACTCACGGTGCGGCCATAGCTATGGCAACATGTATGTGCGGCGGGAGCCAAACACGTCCTAAGGGTATAGAGTGAGTAGAGACCCGATATTTTACTATTACTAATTAATTTGAGCCTTTTTGAAGCCTTCGCATTAATCTTTAAGATCAGTTTTAGAGAAAAAAAATCTTATAAATTATCATAAAAAATTTGCTATTACTAATCAGAGATTTTTTGGAGCCTCTATGTTAATCGTAACTAGGAGCACTAGAAAAAGACAAAGCTAAGAAATTCTTGAAAATAGAATCATTTAACTGTCAATTCACTAGACTCTAACCATGATTCATGATCAATAGTAATAGGTAACATACCTATTCAATTTCTTAAACTAACCCAAATGTATGAAAACAGTATAAGGTAACCCTTAAAGTAATGGCTAAATTAACCACCCTCACCATTATGAAAAATAGCACAAAGTAAACACCTAAACTTACATCTAAAGTAATCCTTTGAATCTATGTATAAATTACCCGCCCCAACTACTATGAAATACAATATAAAGCAACCCTAATGATGATCTAAATTACCGACCTATGTCATTATGAAAGTAACCTAAAATAAATTTATATATAACTACATGTCTTCACGAGTATTAGAATAACATAAAGAACCACTAATTAATCCAAAGTATCTCTCTAAACTTGCATACAAATTTCCTATTGGGTCACATGAAACTTGCAAGGATCCTTTGGTGGCAAGGATGCTAACATGAAGCCTGCAAGGACCCTTTTCATGGCAAGGGTGCTACAACCTTTCTGCCCTTCCAAACTAAAGCGTATACAGAAGGGTGGGGACTGGATAAAGGATCTGTTACTAGTGCCCATACCGGGAGGGTCAGTCTCATAATTACATGATGCCATGGACGTACAACCTATTTTCTAGAATATTTAGGGTTGCAATGGGAATTTCATCGTCACATGGGCATTACAGTGATTCTCTTCTACAACAACCCTAGGAATCTTGCACTTCGCTAGATACACTGCCCAGGAACACATGCAGGCATGAGCCAAAGTGGCCTTCGTCCCTCTGGAGGCTTTTCACTTCATAGCTGTCATGGAAGCTTGATGCCTCTCCCCACATTGACTCAAAGTACATTTCTGACCTATATATGGGCTTGGCATTATTCGAGCATTCTCATCATTGGGTCCCACATCTCTTCCTCTTTAGCCATCTGCTCTAAGACCACTCTTAAGCCCTTCTTCGTGCACAAGACCCTAAATAAAGTTATAAAAACTAATTGTTAATAGGAGGGGACAACTTGTCTCTAGGCTAATTCCCAATAGTAGCCCTTGGGGGCTATGGTCAAATTTGATGGGACAACTAAACAAATATTAGATTTTCTGACCAAGAACACCATCTCCTTAGACCACTAGAGTTAGATAGACTATATTGTCAATTTACTTGTTTGCTGGTAGAGGGAGTGGGCCAAACATGCCAGCGAGGAGTGAGGAGTTGCACGCACCGCCGCTGACCAGGAGGGCGGTGCCCTAGCGCGCTGCCCGCCGACCAAGGGGTTGGGGCCGCTTGCGTCATCATCGATCGGGAGGTTTGGGGTTGCTTACACTGTCGTCACCACCTAGGGGCGGGGGCGAGCACTGTTGGGAGAGAACCCACATGTGGGATAGAGGTGGACGGCGGAAGGGAAGTGTAACACCCTGGTGTTAAGCATGCATTTGGCATTGGCATTTCATGAGCACAAGCATCATTGAGCATTCATGAGCATGAGCATGTCGTCAAATTCTATCTTCACTACCTTGTTTATATCACTTGTGAAGAATCTTAAATTTATACCTAGGCTAGGGTTTACATGTGATCAATGTGGAAAATGCTTGTGGGACCTTAGGAGTACCTTAAACATGTTTAGAATGTCACATGGAACAACTTTGGTATTCATGACTTGGACCAATTTGGCCTCTAAGTCATGATTATAGTGTAAGCTACCATTTTCAAGTTATATGTTTGACCTAAGTTGAACTTTACCCTAGAGTGTTTGAATGGCTGTGCAGCCTTAAGCAAAGTTGTAGTACTTGACTAGGGTAACAACTTTTATTTTTGGGTCAAACCTAATTCGGTGCATACCATGCTCAAAAATAGCTCACAAGTAGCAATGAAATGTTGTTTTCAAACTTTGAAATTTTTCTAAGTCTGGGACTGATTTTCAGTTTCAATGTACCATACTTTGGAGCTTTGTATTTTGAAAACTATGGCGAATTAGATGTTGCTCCCTAAAGCAAAGTTGGAGTTTACATGTAGCTCTACAACTTTTAGTAATGGAATTTTTGCTAACTCGCCATGGATTAGGAAATAGAGGTGGATGAGTTTGTGCTGTCAGTCGTTTTGTCAGGGCAGATGGTCACGAACGCCGCGCCGTCAGTGGCCGACCGGCCATAGGCCGCGCGCGCCACGTGGTGGCCGTACACCAGCGTTGGCCCGGCCAGTCGGGCAGAAACAGAGTGAAGTGTAAGGCGACATCGTTGCTCAATCCATTCTTTGCTCTCTCGCTCTCGCTCGTCTTCCCTCTCGTCCGCCAAGCAGCAGCGCCACCGTCACCATCACCACCGTGAGTTTCGCCATGCTCGCTCGCTGCCACTGCAGCACCATTGTCCAATCACTGACGCCTAGCTCTGCCTTGCTCCGCTCTACCACCTCAAACCACCATTGTAACCGCTTGAGCCCACGTGAGGCCACACTCTGAGTCGTCGCCTCCACCATGGCCGCGGTGCGCCGCCGAGCGCGAGCTCGCCGTGGCCAACCACAATCCATGCACCTTTGCTCTCTCTCTCCCTCTCTCTCGTCTGGTCTTCACCATAGGTCCTTGCATCTTAATCCATTGTCCATTTAGACGCTACTGCCTAGTTGCACCAGAACGCATCGCCGCTCTGCAAGCGACCGCCATGGCCACTGTGGCACTCGAGCTCGCCGTTGTTGAGCTGGTCCATCATCTCCCTCCTATCCCATGCGTCTTAGGTTGAGTGACCCTAGACCTTGTGTATGGCATGACGGAGACCTACCTTTCGTCGTCATCTGGCCAAAACGGTGGGAGCACCACCGTGCTCCGTGCGCCGTCGCGCGGTCATGCACGTGAGCAGAGCACACCATCGCCTCATCGGAACCCCAACCACCCTAGATAGCTTCATTTGGTTCCATGAAGCCGTAGCGCACCTCACCAGAGCACGTGATGGCCGGAGAACGCCGGCGTACCACCGCGCTACCTCCGTCGTCCGCCATTGCCGCCGGCGAGCCATCTCCGATGAACCCTAGGTCACGTCTTCACCACCAACGACGCGGCTTGTGGGGAACACGTTGGTGTCACTG